CCCAAACAAGCCACACGCAGATCTATTGTTTATATCCAGCCTCCCTGGAGGCAGCCTTTAGCACATATCTTACACAACCATGCTAATTTTGTATTTCTGACCTACATAAAATATGGCACTGGGGCGGGAGGGAGAAGGCAGGGGGGGCGGGGGAGGAAGCAGCCCCCTGAACACTGCTTTTTTTTTTTTTTTTCTCCTCAGCAGAGAGACATCAATAAATTAAAGGCCCTTATTTGATTATTCAGTGTGAAAGAGTCTCAAATTAATCAGGCTGGTGACCATGTTTTCGATAGGCTGCCAAGCGAAGAATAAATAAAGCCTTTTAATTTGGACGTTGTACCAAAAACAAAGCGAGTCGAGGGGCCCAGATGATCATAGGTACAACCAGAGACGAACGTGTTTTGCAGCTAATGACGACGAAAAAAAAATAAATCACAGTGCCGGGATAAAGCAGAAGTGTGAATAATTCCACTGTCACTATGTATTAGAGCAGCCTGGGAGGAACGTCACGTGGGTCGAAGCGGCGCATCGATTGGTTACAGATGACATCATGATATGTCGAGGCACGAGCTTGCGCTTCTTTTATGCCCGGAATAAAGCCGATATCTCGCATCGGACATACATGAGCTCCCTCTGCCGGGAACGGGGCCGAGCCCCAAACCCAGACACCAACCTTCCTGCTCGAAGCTGCTGCTGCTCTCGAGTGTTTCATTTCATACTCACTGCTGTGACGATTCCCCAGGCATCCCTTTAAGTAAATTTCCTTATTGCATTAAAAAATAGAAAAGGTATCACATGGGAAACACAGCGAGTTGAGGGCAAGGAGGAGTAGGTTACCTTTCTGCTGGAGAAATGAGCATGCTTCCCCAGCTTGGTGTTAAGAGCCTCGAGGAACATCTCATCCGTAACTTTTCCAACGTTCATGCAGGCATCGTCCAGGATGGCAATGATCCCTTTGTGCTGCTGCTCCACCAGGTCGACGATGACCTGATTGTTGAAGTAATCGATCTGGAAAGGACAGAGAACGGGGGGATTTGTGATTTTGGCTAGTGAAAAAGGAGCACAGTGGTGTTGATGATGGACAGTACCATGCGTCGCACAGAGACCGGACAGGAGAAGGAATGAGCTTTCAATAAGCAGATCACTACTGCAAAACGAAGCAGGCTGCTCCTCTACCACTGAACAGCAGAGAAGGTGATTTTCCAAACAGCTCAGGTGGAAATCTCGAGACCTTTGCTAAAAAATCAACTGCTACAGGATGCACTCTAAAATGTCTTTTACAATTCAGCTCGGCACAGGCACATCTTGTCCTTGGCATTACGAGAGGAATTTCAATGTGAGAACTCCAGATTTTTACCCTTCGATACCTACAACTAGCAAAATACACGGGCACTCTGAACAGAGCCCCACCGCGACGTGTGTGGCACCACGGGGATGCTACAATATGTTTTAACCCAGATCTGGAGTCACTTCTTTTCCCACACCATGGCAAACGAAGAAAGGGGTGAGATAACTCGTTAGCTTTTCCCACAGCCTGATTTCCAGACAGTCAGTCTGACAGTACAGCTGGCATGGACACAGACGTCCTATCGACTTCGACAGGAGCTACATGTGGAGCAAGTTTAGATCTGGGACTTAACGCTGGTCCACTGACCTCAAACCAACCTCTCCCTCCCCTGCCAAATCACTCACATGCTTCCAGGGAATTCCCTCTCGCTGGTACTCTTCCTGCTCCTGCTTTAAAACCAGCTGAATAAAGAGCTGCTGCAGCTTCTCATTGCAGTAATTAATGCAAAATTGCTCAAAACTGCAAAAAACATGAGGGGGGGAAAAAAACAAGGCGATGAGTTTTCTGCGAAAGGAGAAGGCGCAGCACTGTGCTTTATCAACACGACTCACCTGTTATTGTCGAATATTTCGAAGCCATAGATATCCAGGACGCCGATGACCGTGTTCTTCCCGTGTATCGTAGTGTCATAGTTCTTCACTTCGATCACGTCGTTGATGTGCGTCACGATCCAGCAGAAGAGGCGCTCGTAGATAGCCTGCCGGGAAGCAAATACCGAGGAATTCTGCCTGCCCCTGTCTCGGTTGGTGGTGGTAAATGCAACACGTGGTGCAATGGAGCTTCACTCAAGACGCTGCCCTAACTACACCAAAGCTCCAGGTAACGTTCTGCTAACAACAAACAGGTACCCACACGAAAGCACTCCACGAAAATGCGTTGGGTTTTTATTCCTTTCTTCCAAAACTTGCTTACACAGTCTAAATTCTAGTGAGGTTATCAGGCACAGCAGCTCCCCTAATTTGGTTCCAGTCTGCTTTTTAAGTGTCTAATAATTTCCATTCCTGAGAATTACTTAACAAGCTTGAAGAGCAAGCGATAGGTCAGTTACAGAAACCTAACGACTGCACGCAACGGCAGCAAAATATTCCTGTTCACGTTTTAAAAAGAAGCAGCTCTGCAGGCATAGCTGTCTACAGGTTCAAAATGTACTGCAGAGGGGTGCAAACATATCATCTTAGGAAAAAAAGTCAAGTTAATAATTAAGGATCTTCATAGCTTCATCCGCTCTCCCCTTATGATTTGATTTTTTAGCAAAAGAAGGACAATTTTCACTCCTTCTGGCATCAGTATCCACCTTTCAAAAAGAATAGAGCACTTTGCTTTTCCAATATGAGTTCTAGACATTCCAGTTCCAGTTCCACTCTTCAAATTTAACTGCTGAATGAAGTCAAGAATCGTATTTCACAAAATACTCAGCCCTGCACAACGTATTCCCTTTGCAGGTGCCAGCAAGCCAGATTTGCAGCTCCCTCCCCTCGGCCGTGAGCCACAGGCACTGCTCGTTGTGGTCTGTGCTGTGCCACAGCCAGGGAGGGGATATATATCTATGTCCTATAAAACATGGGAGCGCGTACGGTGCGATAAAAATCCACACAAAGCACAGACTTCCCATTTCTCAGCAAGTACTGTACTTATTGATCCACCCAGGGATCCTAGCGGGACAGGAGATGAAAAATGTGCAATGATAAGGCAAATCCTTACTGAATTTCTTCTTCAAGCGTCACCGTTCTGTGCTGCGTCAAGTACAACTCAACCAAAAGGGAAAACCAGAAGAAACGTGTCTGAGCGAGTCACATGTAAAAGCGGGTGCAGAGAAAGGAAATTTCCACTCACTTTTGCAAAGGCATCTCTGCCGTAGGTGGCCTCTTGTTCCGTGTGTTGTTTGTCGATGACATCCCGACCTGTAGCTACAGTTCGAAACAAAAGAGCCTTCTCCACCATGTCAGATTTCGTTGACAGCAAGTCTGCGATGATCGACACGACCTTGCTATTTTCTATCACGGGCGTATCACCATCCACAGAGAACTTCAAGTTCCCCTGCAAGAAGTAGCAAGAAAGTAGATTCCTCAATCTGTCTTTTATTAACACGAATCCGTACACCCCAAGTTCATCCATATGTCACCTGCCAGTCAAGTCAGTAACTCTGTGAATACCGGAAGGGTGAGCCTTGAGTAGCCATGTACCCACAAAGCTCCAGCATCGGTGGAAGCAGCAAAGCCTGACTCAAAAGAAAACCATTCCTTCTTAGTGTTCAGCTCATCTTTTGGGAAAAAAAATTACATCAAACACTTCCACTTCTGCTTCAAGATTCATAGAATCATTAAGGTTGGAAAAGACCTCCAAGATCATCAATCCAGCAACACTACTGTGACCACCAAACCATGTCCTGAAGTGCCACATCTACACGTTGTTTGAACGTCTCCAGGGATGGGGACTCCACCAGTGCCCTGGGCAGCCTGTGCCATTCAGACTCGAGTGGTGGGTAAAGCTGTTAAGTGTATGACTCCTGGATGAGGCACTTATCTTCACTGCAGCTCACCCAGAAACGCTACGGCTGTTCTTACTGCAATAAAGGTGATGGGAACATCCCGGGGAAAGTGAGAGAGGGAGGTGATC